TGCAAATGACTTGACCTTTCTGAATTCGTTTTCTCATCTGAAAGTGGGAATAATCATACCTGTACTTCATGCCTTACAGGTCTGTTTGAGGAATGTGCTTTAGAAACTAGGAAATGGTATCTAATGTAAGCTATTGCTATGGAGTCTTCTCCAGAATGAGAGATAGTGTCAGAAAGATGGAGCTCACATCCCATCTTGACATACATTGGCTGGGGGCCCTGAGCAAGTGATTTAACCTCCTACAGCTCTAGGCACCTCTCTAGGACCATAAGGCAATGATCAGCAGAGGTAGAGGGAATTTACTCTTTGGGAGTACTCTATTCTAATAAAAGCACAAGTCTGTACCAACCTCCTCCCTCCTCAAATGTTACTGAGCATCAATTATGTTGAGAGAGAGAGAGAGAACTATGTGATTCAGTAACAGGGAAAATAAGATTCTACATAGGACATGATCCTTTGGGAATGTCCCAGTTTTGTTGGAACAGTAAGACATAAGTAAATTAATTAGAATATTATATCAGGCAAGATATGATTATTTGCTTACAAAAGAGTGATATAGACCAGTGATGTCAAACTCAAATAGAAACAGCGTCACTAAACTGTCCATAAGGATCTCTGCAGGTCACATACTGATTTAGAAAACCACATATTAACATTATGTTTTATTGTATTTTTATTTATCTTGTTAAATATTTTCTAGTTACATTTTAATCTGGTTTAGGCCGCACTCAGGAATATTGCAGGGCCCCATAATGTGGTGGAGGGCCATATGCTTGACACCTCTGATGTAGATGATATATCTAGAGAAGGGGGTGATGGCAGAGAATAACAGTAAGATGGCCTCAAGGGAGAGGCAAAGGAGAAAAAGAAGGCCATTCTAGGTAAGGGAAACAGTATTAAATAAGGCCTAGAAGTGGGTATGAGCAGTGTGAGCTTGGTGGACTGGACCAGCCTGAGTGGAGCAAAGGGTTTCACCAAGATTAGGTTGGATGCATAGCCTGGTCTTACAACACTGTGGAAGGCTGAGCAGTTTGGGCTTCATCCTGAAGGCACTGGAGTTCTAAGCAGGAAGTGAGATGATATAAATGATACTTTAGGAAGATTAATAATCAGGTGGCACGTGCTACAGGATGAATGGGAGTGGAGAGACACCACAGGCAGGTCCTTCATCTCTATCCATCTCCTCAGTAACTACTCCAGTTTTTTGGGTACTTCATCTATCAATCCTGTAGACAGGCTGACTTGGGCCTTCAGGGCCAGGAGAAAATTGGGATTTCTAAGAGTCAGCACGAATCAAAAAGTTTGCTTGCCCTCTGTGCCCTCCTCCCACTTTCTTTCCCCCAAAAGTGGCAGGGGATATATCTTAAGGCAGGCAAGTTGATCTGTTCTTGGAAGAAGCACCCTCATTCTGCCAGGCTCACTTCAGAATGGTGAAACTGACCAACATTCAGGGAAACACAACAAATCTGGGGAATCATGCCTCACAGGGCAGGCCCAGAGGAGACCCAGGGACCTGACAGTGAAGCAGAATCATTCCTTCAAGATAGGGGCTCAAAACCTTTTTTGTCTTGTAGACCCCTAGGGCAGTCTGGTGAAACCTATGAACACTGTCTCAGAATAATATTTTTAAATGCCGAAAGCAAAGTGTAGTGAATTAAAGATGTAATTGTTTTCCCATCCAAGTTCACAGATGCACTGAAATCTATCTACAGACTCCTTAGGGGAGTTAAGGTTAAGAACTACAATAATAATAATGATAATGATAGCTAACATTTATATAGTGCCTACTATGTGCCAGGTACTGTCCTAAGTGCTTTATAATTATGATCTCCTTTGATCCTCACAACACCTCTGAGAAGTAGGTGCTGTTAATACCCTCCTTTTATAGATGAGGAAGGTGAGGTAGAGGTTAAGTGACTTGCCCAGGGTCATATAGCTAGGAAATATCTAAGGCTGGATTTGAACTCAGGTCTTTCTGACTCCAAGCAAAGAGTTCTACTCCCTGAACCACTGAACTGTGTTGTCCCACCTATCCTGTGAACAAACACTTTCCATTTCCTGGGGTCTAGGACTCCTTAGAGCAGGGTGATTTCTCAGAGACTGAGAAGGCTTAAGATCGTGTCATCCCTGCTGACCGCACAACCTGTCAGGTCCATTTCAGCTCAAGGCTGATGATCCTATGCTCCTGGTGTCTCATCAGGGTGTGGCTATAACCCTGGGTTCTTGGAAGCATAAGACTTCTTATGTGGGCCCAACTTCCTGGTGATGTGGCTAGGCTCTTAGGTCAAGATCTATTTGTTTTTGAAGTCAGAATCACAGAATGTTGGAACTGGAAGGGATCTGAGAGATCATTTATTCTAACCCTGGCATTTTGCAGGTAGGTGGCACTGTGGCTAGAGCACTGGGCCTGGAATCAGGAGACCTGGGTTCAAATTCAGCCTCAGATCGGCTATATGACCCTGGACAAGTCACTTGACTGTCTTTGCCTTAGTTTCCCCATCTATAAAATGAGCTGGAGAAAGAAATGGCAAACCACTTCAGTATCTTTGCCAAGAAAACCCCAAATGAGGTCACAAAGAATTGAATATGACTGAAACTACTGAATATTTTGCAGATGAAGAAACAGAGGCTTAAAATGATGATGATTCTTGCTCAAGATCACCCAGCTAAGTTAGTAACAGAGCAGGGACCTAAGGGTCCTCCAAGTTTAGTTCTCTGTCCACTGCAGGTCTGACTGAAATCCTCTTCCCTCTCCCAAGTCTCCTTCCTGAAGTAGAAGCAGAAAAAGGCAGCCAGGGGTGGGGAACCTGCAGCCTCGGTATCGCCTGCAGCACAAATGCTTGGCCTCCTTGCCTCCTCATTCTGTCCTTGTTTCCACCTCACCTCCTGCCCCTCTGCTGGGGCAGATGCCTGTTGCCTCCTCATGGTTCCTCTCCCCTGAGCATTCTCCTGCATTGTGTGTAAGTAGTGGTTGGGGACAGAGTTTCTCTCCAGGACGTATATAGTCACCATAATGGGTTCTGTCCCTTGAGAGACTGGGAAACAAGAGCAGAAACAGATGTAAACTTCCAAATGATTTATAGACAAGAGCTCCTGGGCTCTGGGCTGACTCTGAATCTGCCATTCCTTTTTCCCTGACTTCCTTGTCCTGCTGCCTGTGCTGTTGGGGATGCAATGTTGGGAAGGCAGGAGGAGCAGGGGTGTTGGGAAGCCACGTATGGCTAGACAGGAGCCCTGGGGTAGAGAGAGTCGTAGGTCTTTGGGAAAGCAAATGGAACACTCCAGGCAAGCAACATGACTCTCTCTCCATCATTGGCAGCTGGTACCAACACTAGCTTCAGAAGTGGTGTGTGTATGTGTGTGCATGTGCATGTGTGCGTGTATGTTTGCATGTGTATGTACATATGTGCATGTGTGAGTGTGTGTGTGTGTGTGTATGTGTGTATAGATAGACGCTGCCCCAGTGTTGCCTCTCGAGGGTAGAAACTGGGACCATCTAGAGATTTATTGGTTTCTTCCCATTTTGTCTCTGTCTCTCTTTGTCTCTGTCTCTCTGTCTGTCTGTCTGTCTCTCACCAACAATTCTTTCCTTTTCCTACCCATTTAGAGTGTGTTTCCCAATTAATCAATCAATAAGCATTTATTAGGCACCAACTACACATCAGGTCCTGTGCTTTATATTGGGAATACTAAGATAACAATAAAAGAATTCCTGCCCTCAAGGAGTTTATAGTCCCCTAGGACCTTCATTCAATATACTTCAGCAATTCAATCCAACTTGCATTTATTGAATATCTTCTATGAAAGAGGAAGGAGCAAGGGTGGAGAGAATTACTCTGCACCAGATGCCAGAGTGACATTGGACAAGGGAGGATCTTGGCTGGCAACCGCTAAAAGAACCCCATCCAAACCTATGTGACTGGAGATGTTCACCCTGCCAGCATATTCAGGTTCTCCATGACACTTAGCTCCAGATACCACTAAACTATAGCAAGGAGGTCCAGCAACACCAATGATACCATATATCACCCACCAACCACCTGTATGTACCACCTGACCTGCACCAAAGGGCTCTGAAGACACAATATACCCCATGCCAAAGGCACTCAGGGACACTTCTCTGCTACACGGAAGAATCTGCCACCAATGGACAGGACTGAGCACATCTGGGAAAAGTAGGCAATTGAAGGCCATAGGGATTAGGACTAAAGCCTCAGGCCTATGACTCTTTGTGGCTAAAAATATTCCACTTGAAACTCCTTCCCCCTCTCTCTTTATTAAGTCATGCCCTTCCTTACCTTCAAAACCCTGTTTGAGTCCAAGTGCCAGAAAGCCTTCTCTGAATAATCTCAACTCATTGGGATCACTTTGCCCCTCCTCAGTCCATATGCATAGAGCTCCTGACAGTTCCACTAGCTACCACAGGTTTTCATGCCATCGTTCCAAATGTAATCCATGAATTTTCATTTGGATTTATCCCTTTTTACTATTAGATCTTACAGCTCACCAAGAGAAGAGACTATGGCTATTCTTTACTATCTTTACTATCTTTACTATCTTTAGCTATATCTTTACTATCTGTTCCAAGCACTTAAAAAAAGGCAGTGTGATCTGTGGGTATTGTTATCTGGTTGACTTCACCCCATCTCTTACTTTTGTTTCTTGGGGTGCATGAATTATACACACCCAGTTTTAAGATGGGAAACCGAGGTGTGGTGGGTAAGAAGAAGTCTCAAAATAGGCAATAAAGGAGGAACAGAGGCACCAGAATTTCTATGACCTAACCTTTTGGCTCTATTTTGATTTCCACAACTTGGAACAAGTTCAGATGACTTTCCCAGAGCTAGCCAGGCACCCATGGGAGGAGTTTCCAATGTCGCCTGTTTCCCCCTCCCTGCTCTGGAGGCTGTCCAACAGACCATAAGAAAAAGGACTGTGTGTTTTCCGAGAGATGCCCACCCTACCCCAAGAAACTGCGGGAATTAGAGATAGGTACTCACGCTGGTGGCATACTGAATGTCCTTCCAGATAGACGTCTCTCGGGACAGGTCAGAGGCCTCAAAGAGGTTGTCCAAGATAACCTCCCCGATCATATCATGGCGGGAAAAGCGGTCAAAGTCGAAGACACTGAGATGGAGCTTCCGGTCAGCCAGCTCCTCGTAAGGAACGGGGAAGTGGAAATTCTCATCAAAGGTGGGATTCAAGGTCTTGCGATGCACGCGGGTCTGCAGCTTGCACTTGCGGTCAGGCAGGAGGTAGATCTTGACGTAGGGGTCCGAGCTGCCGCAGAAGTCCTTAGCAGGGAGGTCAAAGGCCTTCAGGATCCGCACAACCAGGGTCTCGTTCTCGTAGTCGTACTTCAGGCTGAAGTTGATCTTTCCACAAGTCTTGGCAGCCTCGTTCTTGCCTTCCTCATCATCCACAGACTTTTGCTTGTACAGTTCAGGCTTAATGCGGCCAATGCTGGTAGGCTGCTCAGCAGCAGGGGGCAGGTCATTGCCATAGTCCACGCTGGAGACGTGCATCTGCCGGGGCAGGTGGCGCTTAAAGGAGGTGTGCCTGGGAGCAAGCAGGGAAGGGGAAAGAGAGGTCAGGTCTTCATTCAACAAACATTTAAGTACCTATTATGTGCAAGGCACTGAACTAGGTAACAGTAAATACAGAGTTGAAATAAGACAGTTCTTTGCCTTTAGGGATTCATAATTCAACGCATTTAAAATCAATGAGCACATATTATTCATTCACTGTATACACAGTGCTGTGCCAGGTGCTAAGGGAGATAAAAATTTAGATAGGACATGATCACTGCCCTCATGGGATTTACAGTCTAGAAAGGAGATATGACCTCTTCATAAATAACTGAGGCAGCTAGCATAGAGTAGTGGTTAGAGTGTTGGCTCTGAAGTCAGGAAAGCTGAGTTTAAGGTCTGCCTCAGACACTTTACAAGCAAAGTGATCCTAGGTAAACTCATTTAACCACTTTGGGCATCAGTTTTCTTATATGGGGATAATAATAGTTACCTCACAGTGATGTTGTGAAGATAAAATGAGATTATACATATATATACATACATATATAAATAAATTTTAAATATCTATAAAGCATTTTGCAAACATTCAAGTGCTATATAAATGTTAACTATTAGTAATAGTAATAGTACCAAACTGCATAAATGTAAAAGAGAAGTGAAAGAAATATGGTTTTTTGAGGACCAAGGAAGGAAGGCTAACTGAGCAGAATCAGGAAAGTTGTGTGTCAGAAGAGTGCTTGGAATCAGGCCACTTGGGATCTGCTTGACTGTAAAAATTTCTCAGTTTCCTCATCAGTAATATGGGTATAATAATCATTGCACAACCTATCTCAGGCATTGTGAGAAAATGCTTGGGAAATCACAAAGTCCTATAGAAATGCATTTTTCATGGAAGAGATGGCATTTGATTTGGACCTTAGACATTGTGTGAGAATGCAAACAAATGCAAATACTGGGGAGTAGAGAAGGCATTCAGGGATTCGGAACAGCTTGAGCAAAGGTTCAGCAGTAGGAAAACACAGGTAGAGTATGCTGCTAGACAGCACCATAGTGCATAGAGCACTGGGCCTAGAGTCAGGAGATCTGAGTTTAAATAGAGTCCCAGACACTTGTTAGCTGTGTGACCCTGGGCAAAGCCCTATTTGCCTCAGTTCCTTGTCTGTAAAATGGGGGCACACCAGAGAAGGAAATGGCAAACCACTCAAGTGTCTTTGCCAAGAAAAGTCCGTGGGGTCACCGAGAGTCAAACACAACTGAATAACAACAGAGTATGCAGAGATGAATAGCATTGGGTAAGTCTGGAAAGGTAAGGAGGTGCCATATTATGAATATTTGAACTTAATAGGTAGTAGTGAACCACCGAAGTTTTTTTTTGTGCACAGTAATGAGAGCAGATCTATGCAGAAGGAAGGTCAATCTGACAACGGAGTGAAGGATGATTTGGAACTTGGGAGAGGGAGCACATGACAGGGAGATGGGACGACTTATTAGGAGGCTGTTGCAATCATCCAGTTGAGTGATAATGAACCTGCACAACCTATGGGAGATAAGACAATACAAGTAACAGCATGATAAGTAAACAAAAGAGGCACAGCAAATGGCCATGAGAGATTGGAGGAGGAAGAGATATCCCTTTCAGCTGGGGGGAAGAAGCTTCAAGCAGGAGGTAGAACCTGGGTTGGTCCCTGAAACAATGGAAGGTTTTCAACTGGCAGAAATGGGGAGAAGGCACCTGTGGGGGGGGGAGAGCTGTGATTCATGCTAGTTCTAGGGTATGCCAAATGCAAAGACACAGAGGCGAGAGAAGGTGGGATGAGAGTAGGGCTTGAGAGGAGGAACACAACCATGAGTCATCCCCTGACCCTTCTCACTTCTTGGAAGCCCCCACTGATGAACTATTCCAACAATCACAACATTGCCCTCTTGGCCAACCTGCTGGTATATAAGTCAAGTCACTTTCAAAAGTTTATATTTCCATATGGTTAAGGAGAATCATTTTGTCCCATCTCCAAATAAGGTAATATTTGTAAAGCACTTAGCACAGTGCCAGGCACATAGTAGGTGCTTAATAAATGCTTGTTCCCTTCCCCTGCACCTCCACATAGATAAGGGGTAATGTGTCTGTAAGAGGCCGGAAGGCAGACTTCTTACCTGGTGGAGGAGGCTGGCTCTGTGGTCTGCCGTTGCAGCCTCGTGTGACGCATGATGTGCTCTTTAACGGACATCTGCACTTCTGCTGGGATGTCTGGCGACGTGTGGCTGATCTTCACAGCTGCCTCCAGGAAGCCAAGAGTGTTGGGGTCCTTCAGCTTGTCCGCCATCGTGTCTCCGGGGCTGGGGCTGGGGCTCTGGGGGGCCGCCAAGGTAGGGTTAGTGGAAGAGGGGCTGGAGGCCTCCTTGTTCCTCCAGGGTATCCAACACAGCTTCCAAAAGAGAAAGAAAAATACTGCCACCAGGGCCACGCCACACACAATAACTACCACAGCAAGGAGGCTGACGGAGGCGCCTACCAGCAGGGACGGGGCGGGCAGGGGAGACAGAGACAGACAGAAGAGGGGGAAGGAGATGGCAGAGGGGACAAGGGGGTAAGGAGCGACGGGGGAGAGGGATGGCGTTGGCAGGAGAAGTAGGGAGGGAGCACACATGGAGGACAAAGAAAGGAGAAAAGAAAAGAGTGGTCATGAGAAAGCTGCCAGGTCAAAGGAAAAAATGGTTTTCCAGTCAACTCTCAATTTTCCATCATGCGGATTATCACAGAAATGTTTTTGCCCCAGATTAGATTTCCCCCACCACTGGGTATACATCTAGGCTACTTCGTTTCCCTAGTAGCTGGCATACTCTTGAGGAATGAAAAATAAGTTGATAACAGCCTAACAACATGTAGACTCATTGAAAACTTCGATTGAATACTAAACTTCCTCTGTATCACCCGAAGTGCCCAGCCTAGTGCTGGTCATGTGAGAGGCTGAATGCCGTTGACTTGAGTTGAAATGTGCTACTTCAGAGTATGGCATATATTACAAAATAAAAGAGAAGGCCCCCTCTCCTCCCTTTTTTTGGTGGTGGTAGTAGGGATTATCTGCTATTTGAGATTATCACATTGTGGCTTGGCTTCATTCACGGGGATAATTGAGAGTCTTACTGGAAAACCTTCTCATTTAGATGTTACGGCAGGCGGCCTGGGACAGCACCCTAGAGTTACTGCTGACCCATGAAGTCAGGCCAGGTGAATCCCTCCCTCCCTTCCTCCCATCACACCTCTGAAAGAGCCTCCCCCCTACTACTCCCCAAGGAGGGGGCTTGCTGATTAGAGTAAGGGAGAGAATGGAGGTTACCTCCTAGAGACAATATTAACCAAACCACCCATATCACCCCAACATCCAAACCAAGGCATACCCACTATACCTGGGGTAGGTACTGACCCTGGACAGAAAGGAGGAGGAAAAGTGAGTATCGTTTTTTTTCCCAGCCAAACCTCCAGGGAGCATTGGGGCCTTATCAAAGAGCATTGGCCTAGGATTCCTGTTGGAACTCTAGCAAGCATCTACACTTACTCGGGGCCTCCATTTCCTCATCCTTAAAATGAGATTTTAGTAGATTATTGCTATGGTCCCTTTCAGTCCTAATATTCAATGATTCTATGAATCTGAGACAATAAGTGAATACCTAAGGCTCCCTGGGAACAAGTTAAATCAGGCTCCAGGGACCTGAAATGAGCCTTTCTTAGCCCTAAACTTCTTCCCCTGGGATGCCTGGGGCTAACAAAGGACCTTCAGTCTGCAAAGCCCATTGAACAATTCAGAAAACAGGAGTAAAGGTAGGTTTGTACATATGGTGTCATTATGATTGAGAGCACCAAGACAATCATAACACAGCTATTACACAACCCGAAGTCATTATGCGAGAGAAATGATAAAACAACAACACTTGTGCCACAAATTCAGGGAGGGAGAGTAGGGGGTGGGGAGCGCGTTGTATCGGGAGTGCGGAGCTGGGGCAGATCTCCAGAGGAACTGGGATTGGTCCCTCCCCAAAGGTCCCTCCCCAAAGGACAGCCTGGAAAACTGGTTTTCTGGTCCCTTCTAGAAGCCACACTGGGCTCTGCAAACAAAAACCCATCCAACAACAATTCAAGGAAAAAATCAGCTAAAAAGATGTCCTTATTTTAAATAGTTGGGCATTTCTAGATACTTCACATCTGTTCCCTGTTACAGCTGTTCTGGATGTAATCCTTAAGAATATGAGTCACCTTAAAACACAAGGTATTTCGAGGACTTCGTTTCCCTTTGATCACGCCTTCTTTTCTCTGGTAATAATTAGAATTTTAATGTGAATGGGGTGGGGGTGGGCAGGGAATCTACGGAACAGAGTGCATTTAAATGTTCAGTCTGACAAAAACCTGAATCCAGATTAATTGATCTGGGTAGTTGCTATTTTGAATGCTCTCTGAAACGCATAAATCCAGGCTGCTGCTCCCAGGCAATGACTCAAAGCAAGTGGGGTTTGCATGTTAGGAATGATAACCCCAAATTCCATGCTGGTTTTATGCTGACCAGAAGGTGCTTTCTTAGGGAGAACTTCTTCAGGGAGAAAGACTGAAGCTCCCAGATCTCTGCCACAGGCAGGGTTGTTTAGCTCAGCTCAATAGCACAGAGACCAGGGTGATGGATTCAGTTCCTTTCAAGGCATCAGAACTGAAATCCAGGCAGCCTTCACACCATTGCCCCAGGTCACAAGGGGTTTGGGGTGACTGATGGCTCAAAGTGGAGGCGAGGAGGGCATACTGAGTGCTACTGACGCATCCCCCAATGGACCTGCTACAGTTAACTCATTGATAACCATACTCACCTATAGGACACAAGCAAGAAAGATTCCCTCATCCCTCCCTCTACTGTGGGGATATGGGATAAGTAAGAGACACACACACACACACACACACACACACACACACACACACACACACATACACACACACGCTGTTTTTCAAACAACTACCAGGAATCCTCCTGACTATTGAAAGATCCCAAGAGAAAACAATTGATAGATTTGGTATTTGGAATAGGCAGCTCATTTGAATACTTTTTCTGCTATTTATTACCTATGTGACTGCAATCAAGTCATTTAACCTATCTGATCTCATGGAGGAGGTAGAACCTGGTTTGGTCCCTTAATCTGTAAAATGAAGAAGTTGGACTTTAGAAGACCTAAATCGATGATCTTAGGTAGCATAGCATAAGGCCTTTTGGGAAAACTTGTGCTTTCCTTACCTGGGGAGTGGGTGTGGAAAAGAGAACCCCAGAAACTTGAGCTTTCAGGAATTCTACAGGTTGGAATGGATTAGATGACCTCTAAGCTCCCTCCTAGCTCTGAAAGTCCTTGCTTCAGAGTACAAGACCAGAGGGGTAGAAGGAAGAGTTCTCGCCTAGGAATCAGGAGACTTCCAGCACCAGTTCTGCCATTAGCTGGCTGTATGACCTTAGATGAGTCACCCTACCACTATGGGCCACAGTTTTCTCATAAGTCAAAGTGACGGGATTGAATGTAGAACATCCAAACCTAAGCCAGAAACTTAGACATAGGAAAGACGGCCTTGTGGATTATCCTTGGCGCTGTGATCCTTGTGGATCCAGTGGCTGATAGTCTGCATAAGGGATGGCCCTGAGAATCTCTGAAATACGTATCAACTCTAATTTTGTGATTCTGTGAGCTGACACTGTTCTGGGCTCTGTTCCTGGCTCAAAATCTGGTGGAGAAGATCCCCTCCACTTAGCACATTTTCAGTATACCAGGACCCTCAATAGAATCTGCTGGACCCCTCGTTTCACTACTGTTTGCCTGGAAAGGAGCTAATTCCTCCAAAGGTTATCAGTCCAACATCTCCTTGCCATTTACAGCAATCCCACCAAGACCAGGGTGATGGCTGTCTTATGACAATGTCTAGGGCCTTTCCTTTCTTTCTGAAATTACAACAGTTATTAATTAGCAGGCAAAGCCTTATCTCTCATATTGACGCCTCATTCCCCAGACACTGCGGACCAGATCCCTACCCTGGCCCCACCTCTTGGTGTTCAGTTTCATCATTGCTCTTATCTCTGGCTATTGTTACCATTTTTCTAAACTGGCTTCCATGTCAGGAAAATCCATTTTGTTACAGTAATAGGCATCCCTGCTAACAGATTGTAATTGAAAAGATAAACCAGGGAGAGGAAGCAAAGGAAGGCCCTTTTCTTTGCCTTACTCCAGTAGCAGGGTGGGCTTGGCATCAGGGTCTGTCTAGAGCTTCTGGGAGACTCTTAGAGACAGACCCCACTCAAACACTACAGAGAGAGAGTTAATGCTGCCTCTGATGAGCAGTGCTCAATACAGACAGAGATGCCTAGAGATGGAAGTCAACTCAGAGACAACAGTTAGATACAGATAATGAGCAAAGAACCAGAAATCTCCAGAGCTAGAGATGGAGATCCAGGCACAGAGTTGAGAGACACAGAGTGGCAAAGACAGAATAGCCAGAGACATAGAGAAATAAATGAGACGCCGAAAGGCAGAGACTCAAAAGGCAGGGACCCGCAGATGCAGAAACATAGATACTAACAAAGAGACAAAAAAAGACAGAGATCTTGGATGTTTTCAGAGAACAGTTCAGGTCCACAGTGGAAAGAAACTTGGACCAATACTGTATAACTGTGCCCTCTGCCAGCCCAGGAGGCAGAGATAAGCCAAGAATTAAAGGCTAGGAGCAAGAGGAGGTCAGAGAATAAAAATTAATTCCCTGAAGCTCACAGAATCTTTCCAGGGTGGATGACCTCCATGCCCCAAACTCTGAAGCCCTTCCATTGAATGAGTCCACTTTCAGTTCCTTCTCTCCTCTGGGCAAGTGAAGAGGCTGAAAATCAGATCACAGACCACTAGGTAATTGGCAAATGCCCTCTAGAATGGGCCAACCCTGGTTGCTTCTGAAAAGCAAGGGTGTATGTATGTGTGTGTGTGCACATGTGTGTGTCCCTATATGAAGGGACAGAAGAGAGCAGTAGTGTTTGGAAGAGCAGGGTTGGGGAGAGGGAGTTGTCTTATTCTGAGGCTCCCAGATTCAGCTCATTAATAAAATGGCCCATTTGGCTTGCAAATTCATTAGGAGAACCCAGTGCAATTAAAATTCAGGGTTTTGGGGGTTGAGGGTTTGCTCTCTTTTACTTCTTCCAGGGATCCAGGCCCGAGCTACCAATGGGGATAATTAGCAGAGTCCAAACAGAGAAGGGATGAAGGTTCCCCAATGCAGCTATGATGAGAGAAGACAATAGTGGGCTAATTACTGAAACACTGAGCTTTATGACTACATGCCTGCTCTCACCCTCATTAAGGGGATTCATAGACAAATAGGAGAGTAATGTGAGGAGTTATATTTAATAGAGCTCTGGTTGTAATTTAGCAATTATTAGTATTATTATTTTGGCAGATTGCAACAAAAAGCTTTCTGTCAGCTCAGCTGTTTCTTGTAGCCCTAAAGTTGGGGATCAAAGGGAGCGGCAGGCAAAGAGTGTGATTGAGAAACTGGAGGGGGAGAAAGTAAAAAAGGAAGAAAGAAAGAAAGAAAGGAAGGAAGGAAGGAGGGAAGGAAGAAAGGAAGGGAGGGAGGGAGGAAAGAAAGAAAAGAGAAAGAAGAAGAAAGAAAGAAGAGAAATATGGAGGCAGGTAGATGGCATAGCGAATAGAGCACTAGATCCGGATCCAGGAAGACCTGAGTTTCAATCCTGCCTCAGATATATACTAGCTGTGTGACCTTGGGCAAGTCACTTAACCTTTCTGTCTCAGTTTCCTCATCTGTAAAAGGGGGACAACAATGGCATCTACCTCATTGGCTAGTTGTGAGGATCAAATGAAATAATACATGTAAAACACTATTTAATGCTAGCCATTATTAAAAAGAGAAGGAAACATGGAAAGACAGTGAAAGAATGTCCCTCTCCACTTGCAATTGACATCAGTGAGAAAAGAGAAGCCTGTGTGGGTCTCTGGACAAGATATCGAGTAAAGATTTACCTTCAGAAGCCACTAAGTCATAGGGTGGAAGTTTACATCAGGAAACCAAGAGCTAAAGGTTGGACCTCCATGTCTTTCCTCCTCCAAAGGCTCCTTAATTTAATTCCTAACCAGAAGAAAATGCATTCCTAAGAGCCTGCCTCTTTTTGAGGCAGGACCAGATGGAACTTTGGGTCTGCTCCTCCTGTGACCATATCTTAGTGATCACCTTGGCATGTGACATCAACCCTAAAAGGTTCTGTCCCAACCCCTAACTATAAACAGCAGCCCAACCGACCCTCTGTGGATGGGGAAGAGGGAAGGAAATTAAAGACTTAGTTCTGCAACAGGGCATTCTTAGCCTGACATGCCTTGTTCTAAAGCAGGGGTTCTTAATCTGGCATCTGTAAACTTTTTTTAAAAAATTATTTTAACCATTTCAACATAATTGGTTGCCTTTGTAATTCCATGTCTTATTTTATGCTCATGACACAACAAAGGTTAAGAACCAGGGCCTTGAAGTTTCTACCACCTCTATGGGGAGAACAGAGCTTTTAGTCTCAGAAGACTAGGTGTTCTAGAACATACCACTATCAGGTTATGGGTTCTAGATTCTGCAAAACAAAGCTCCTTCTCGAGTGGAAACATCACTCTTCCAGGTTCTCTAGGTTCCTGGCACTGGATCTCTTCTCCTAATTCTTCAAGGAGCTATGATTTCATAATCCTGGGCTGTTTCTCTATAAAGCAGATGACAACCCCTCTCCAGATTAACAGTTTTAGAGAGCTGCTGGAGCCAAAAAAAATCCACATCGTATGCCCAGTCTGAATTTAGGCTGACTGGTCCTTAAGCAATAGACAGTCTGTCACTAGAGTGGTACTGGATGAATCCTTTTCAGCTTAGTAAAATCTGCCAAAGTTTGTGTTCACCTTTGTGAACCTCAGGTCTCTTCCGTGCCATATGAGGCATGTGAATGGGACTTACAGAGGTCTCTACTTCCAGAAGGTAAAATTTCTGTAAGACACTGACAGAACTTCTGGTCATAAAGTTATGGAAATAGGGATGTGAGGTTTTTGTTTTTTTTTTTAATGAAATTGTTTTGCATGCAATTTGCCATCACCAGCTAGGAAAGCTTCTATGTTAGAAAGGGCCAAGTTCAAAGACAGGGAGGTGAATAAGAAGTTATTTCTGGAGTCATTAGACAAATGAACAAAAATCACATTCTACTCATTACCACCAGCAGCTACTACCAAGTCCCAATCTGTTCTCTCTGATGGACACCAAAACAGACTCAGGACTAAAGAACCAGAGAAAATAAGAAGTGGGAAGAGATTTTGAGATGGAAAGCCAAGCCCTAATCAAAATTGCAAAGCTATGCCCTAATCAAGCCCCCTCCCTCAGTCCCCCAGCTCTGCCTGGGGCTGTCAGTGACTCAGCAGAGCTAAAGTTACCCTCAAGGGGAGAACTCAAACTTGCTTTCTGAATCAGCCAGGAGAACAATCCAGATTCACCTTCAAAACCTCCCCCAAGTATTCACCCTTATCCCCACCCACCCTATTAGTTTAGGTCTCAGTTATCTAGACAACAGGGTGCTCTCCCTTTAAAGGCCTCCAGGGCAGAGCTACCATAAAGGATGCATCAGTGACTCCTCCATCCCATCTCCCATCCTCTGACTGTCAGCAAACTTTAACTCACATCCATCCCTCTGGCTGCTGCTAGCTCAGCTGCAACCCTCAGTGGATATGGAGGGCTGGTCTTTCTCCGCTGTAGAAAAATGGAAATCAGTCATCCCTCAGCCTCCCCTCTCTGAGGAGGGTCAGTGAGAGGAAACAAGGTTCCAGAGGATGACAGGTGGCTTTGTGGAACAGGCCTCAAAAGGAGAATGATTTTGAGAGAAAGCCTGCGATTGGAGGATTGGGAGGGAGGTACTGAGCGATTGTAGAACTGGTGGAGGAAATTGGAAGAATTTCAGGATGTATTTATTTGTAGGATGGGGGTCTCCAATCCAAGGTGTCTCTTTGGGCAGCATGCAAACTCTATCTACAAGCAATATGGAATTGCCGGGTTCGAAGGGACAGGGTCCCAAGAGATTAGAGACAGGACATGAAGAAATATAGTGAAAAGAGAGCGGGCTTTGAACTGAGAAGACTTGGGTTCAAATCCTTCCCCCGTCACTTACAACCTATGTGACCTTAGGCAAGTCACTCAACTTCTCTGGGCCTCAGTTTCCTCATCTGCAAAATAAGAAGGTTGGGCTAGATGTCTTCTAAGGTCCTTTCCAGTTTTAAGTTTATGATTCTCTGATGCTATATGATTCCATATGCTATACCATAATAGCCATCAGTATCACCATCACCTAAAAAGCATACATTGTCTCGTCTGACCATCCAGCTTTACTTTATTTATTGTCTAGAAGTTCTGTCTAACAGTTCCTTCTGCAGCAGTATCAACCCATTAATTAAAGATTCAGTAGATATGGAGAACAGCGCCCCCTTCCACCCATCGGGACTGAACTAAGCTTGAGTTGACCCAAATTTCAGACGCAGCACCCCCTCCCAGGACCGAGTGAGTGATCCCAGCTCTCAGCCCCCGGGTCCTTTTGGATTTCTCACCTTTGACTCAGAGGAGCAGAGACAAGAAATAAATGCCCAGGCTTCCACTCTTAGCTAGCACAGAGTAGAAACCCACCTTCGCCCTCTGCTACCGAGGACGGGGCTAGGGGTTCTTAGCTTCAATTTCTCCAAGGGTGGGGGATGGGAGAGGGGGAGCGTGCGAATTAAATTCCAGCTTCTCTCTCTTTCCCCCTGCCCCACTAACTGACTTGCACCTACCTACTAGCACCGTGTAGAAAGACACTCACGCTGGCGAGGCCTTGAGAGATTTCTCTCAGTGCTCTACAATGACCCCCATCCTTCCAGGGACTTAGGAGAGGGAGATGGGGGTTAGGGAGCTGAGACAGACCCCAGTCTCCCTTTCATCTGCGTAGAATTTCCCGACACCACCTCCCAGCCGACCCCAGTTCCCTACTGAGAGTTTTCGGCTCCTCGCAGGTGGGGGGTCGACCTCGAATCTCCTCGCCCCCTCCGAGTCCTCCCACCTTAGTCTTATACCCTGCTGAGCTGCCTCCCCACCAGATGTTGGAATCCGGACAAAGAATCAACATCTGCAGACCAAGGACTGAGAGAATGGGGGGGGGGGTGACTGCAGGAAGCTCATCAGGTCCTCAGAAACCCAGGTAAACGTCCCCCTCCTACTCTAGACCTAGTACTTCCCCCGCAACCTCTGGCATCACAAAGTCCCCCATGGTGTCTAGATTGCCCAAATGCTCACTGTCGCGACTCCGCCGAGCCATTGCGGCCGCGCGCCGGGCCCCAGCGTAGGGGCTCCGGGCTCGGGACTCACCCGGCTCGGATTCCCGCTTTGGCTCCGCAGCCTCTCTGGGGCCGGCTCTGGGTGTCGGGTCCTGGGGGCTACTGGAACTAAGGCGCCCGGTTCGGAAAGTCAGAGAGGCACCGGCTCAGTTCCCACACCGGCCCCGAGTCCGAGTGAGTCACGGAGAGAGCGCGAGCGAGTTATAGAGGTGGTGGTGGTGGTGGTAGGGGGTGGGACGGGGACGCGGAGACACTCTCCCCCCTCCTCTTCCTCCGCCCCCCCGCGGGGACAGAGAAATAGACAGAGCCGGAGAGAGGCATTGGTACACAAAACCCGAAATCGAGACAGAGAGTCAACGCAAGTTTCTTGCTACCATACGGGGGAGGGGGGGGGCGGCTAGTCGCACCTCCCGGGAGACAGAGATGTAGAAATAGAGACAGAGATACAAACCTCTCTACCACTGGGAAGGTGTGTCATCTCTTCCCCTGACCTTTCCCTGGGTATTTTGCCTTCTCTTTGTGGGAAGAGAATCTCCCCATCCTACCAAGGGAGGAAACTGAGGCACAAAGGGACTGCTGTTCCCCAGAGTTGCAAAGGGTCCCCGAACTAAACCCAAGAGTCTGGCTCCACACTAGGGGCTTTCCGAGTCGCACTCTGAGGAAAGACACCCCCTCCACTACCACCAGCTCCACTCCCCAGCACCCTTTTTCCTGACACTGGCAAGATCCGAATCCAGAGCACGGCACTAAAGGAATGGATGGGAAGAAAGGTCTGCTCCTTCCCCTTCAATCTAAGCTTTGCTCTTAGGGAAGGGAAGGGTATCAGAAAGAGAGGCTCCGGATTAGGAAGAGGAGTTGTGGCAGGGATAGGTGGGGAGGGCCAAGGGTCCCCCAGTTACCTGTATCAGCAGAACTCGGACTCCGCTCCGGGGGCTGCAGCTCAAAACTCCGACAAGTCTCCAAGTCCAGACCCTGGGGGGGCGGCTGCCCCTGACATAGCGAGGCCAGGATTCCCAGCGCCGCCTGGCACCTCTCCTCCTCGGACCCCCCCACTCTGCTCATGCCCCGGACCCTCCCCCCTTCCCTGTTTAGTGCACTGTGGGTTAGTCCCGTCCCGCCCAGCTCCCTGCAGCTGCTCCAGGTCCCTAGCTGCTGTCGGGCTGGGGCGGGACAGGGCGGGTCCTCTAGAAGACCCTCCCCCAAACAGCCCCAGGCCAGTCACCGCACTTACATTTCCCAGGCTAGGCTTTTAACCACTTCTCTACGGGGTCTCCGCCCCTCAGGGAAATACAGACACCATAGAGAAATTCAGTTCCCACTTGTCAGCACCCTCTTTACGTTTAGTGTCTGGTTAGATCCTGGTCCGAGTACTGTGTCATTGGCGATTGGGTTGGAAAGAGGCAGAGCCTGGTGCCATGGAGGCTGAAGAAGAAAAAATAAAGGGTGATTGAGCCCAAGACTAGTAAGATCCTACGGGCATGTCTTCCCAAGAAAGGAACCCATGGTTCCCAGGTTTCAAAAAGGGTAGAATTGAGGGTGGGGCTCGGACCGCTGAGCGAAAGAAGTTGGTTAAACTTGCAGTATTTTTTTTTAATAAAGAGGGAAGTCTATCATAACCCCAGGACTGTGGACCGAGGGGAGGGAGTGGGGTTCAGGGGCTTTTAGAGCCCCGCAATACGCTGGTCGCGTCACCCACTCGTTGTTATGGAGACAGAAGGCATCGGCTGTCTCTCTCCATGGCAACGTGAGGGAAAAGTTTCAGGAGAAATGGGGAAGGGGGGGGACGACACTTCACCGGGTCATCCTTTTTCAAGTCCGTCCCCCTCCCTCGGCATCGAATCGCACCTCATTTCCCATGTATCTTCGGGAAGCTTTACCATACAAATTGAAATGGACCGAAAATATAACCGTAGGACTTGAGGTTAGACAAAACGAAGAACTTCCCTGCAGTGTGAAGTGTGAGATAAAGCATCAGCCAGGGAGCCTGAATGAGTCTAGGACGTTTCCACCCACCTGCCCCCTTCCCCTCTTTCTGGAGATAGATCTCTCAGTTCTGGAGAGATCTACTCTGCGGCTGCCTGACGGTTATGGGTTAGGGGAGGAGCCACTCTGTCCAGAGACAGGGGCACGGATGAGCCGTGGTGCGAATCTCTTCCTCAGTAGAGTACGATCCATTTTCTCGGAGTGGAAGCGAGATCCTGTGCCTGGCATTTGAGCCATGGCCTCCACTTCCTTTCCTAGCGGTTGAAAGTCATTCTTTGGCGGTAGCATCCGGAAGCCACGGGTTGGCTTGTTCCCGGGCTGGTTGGGGGAGGAGGGTCTTTACTTCTAATTAACACACTAATTGGAAGTGGCTCGGGCTGTGACTCACGTTCCGGAGCTTTGAGATTCTCGGCGAGGGCTTTTGGCGGTAACAACTGCACGCGCCATCTGTGAGCCCCTTCATCCCCCACCCCACCCCCATCCCAGGCAGACCCTTTTGAAGTGCAGGCTCCCCTCTGTCCCTCCTCCCATCACCATCATAGTCCCCCATATCCCAGCGGGGTATGCAGTCCCATCATTGGGGGAAATAGTTGGGCTGCAAGGACCAGAGAAAAAGACTTCATGTGGCTCTCGAGGTTTCCTGGTCCTCACCCAACCCGGGCCCCACCTCTGTCCAAGGTGCTGATGATCTCTCTCTGTCTGTCTCTTTATGTCTCTGTCTCTGTCTCTGTCTGTCTGTCTGTCTGTCTGTCTGTCTCTCTCTCTCTCTCTCTCTCTCTCTCTCTCTCGTGTGTGTGTGTGTGTGTGTGTGTGTGTAAGGATAGCATGGAGCTGAGTTCACAATGTGATTTGACTAGCTAGGTAAATGATGACTGTGAAGGGACTGCACTTCTGCCTTGGTCTTTAAGCAGGGATGTTAGTGGGGCGGGGGGATGTTGGAGTGCAAGGAATGATGTGGAGGAAATTGAGAAACTAAAGAGAGGTGGTCGTTGCCGGTAGGTTGTCAACTGTAACACACTCTGAAATAAAGGAAGTCTTCCTTCCAGGAGGGGAGGTCTGGTGGCATTTTACTGTTTAAATCCAGGCGAGGCTGTGTGTGTGTGTCTGTGTGTGTGTGTGTGTGTGTGTGTGTGTGTGTGTGTTTGGTATCTGGGAGTGTAATCCATGTCTCCAAGGTGTTAAGAGAACCTATTTGGATCTCCTCCAGTTCCAGACCCTGGCAATCCAGAGATAGGGATTCTGGGACTCACTGCCCCCAGATCCCAGCAAACTGCTCATTAGCTTCTTCAGGAATGGAGTGTTTGTATTTATGTATTTATGTAAAATAGTAATGGATAGTAGTTCAGCTCATATTTATAGCAATGCTACTGTTCTCAGATTTCTCCTCCCCCTCCCCAGTTACAGGGGAAACTGGGAGAACAAAGCTCTTGTTTTGCTTTTCCAGAGAGCGAAACAACACAGGACCGCACCAACAGCCAAGGCCTGTGATGCAGGGAAATCAATATTTTGCTTACAACTAGTCAGGGAATTTGCATCTAAACAGAAGGCTAAGGAGTTTTTTCAGAGCAGAGCAGGCAGCAGGAGCCACAGAGAGCAAAGAATTAACCGATAATTTTTCATTGTTTCTGGATTCATCCCCCACACCAGGCAGCTGGGACCTGCAGTGTCTCCTGCGGTCACAGCAGCAGTCAGGACCTGGTATTTCTCAGCTTAAGTGGGAAAAAGCATTTGTCCTGGCACTGCTGTAGGAAAGGACCAAAGGCTGTGATGCTCCTAAGGTCATGTCAATAGCTATTGAATTTGGTGTGTGTGTGTGTGTGTGTGTGTGTGTGTGTGACAAAGAGATGGAGATAGGTAGAGATCTCTGAGACAGAAACAGTTTGTGAGATAATTCTTGTGCACATTTTAAATGTCTGTGACTACAACAACCATAATTTTGCGTGTGTGGGGGGATGACCAGACCACATGGATTGTGGAAGAAATGGTGATTTTGTCATTATATGGAACTTCCAGTGTGGAAACACCTTTCATTGAGGCAGATTAAAACCAATCTGTGACTTAGAGTCTTGAGAGTGGGGTGGGGCAGAGATGGAGTTGCTTGTTCCCTGATCCATACCCACCTACTTTGGGAGAATTGGGAGATGGGGTGGGGGAAGGAGGGAAAAAGGAACAGAAAGAAAAGGTAAGAGGTAAGGAGAGACTGAAGGCTACCAATAGTTGCTTACACTGGCCTAGAAGGAGCAGAATGAATATCTCAGAACCTGTAGCACTACTCCCCTTGGGCCCTGTTTTCTTTCTCTCCCTCTCCACCTAATCTGTAAATTGTTCACAATCACTTATGGGTGAACCTTTCTGAGTCCCAGATCCTCACAGAGCAGATACGGAAAAGCCAAATCAGCCTAGGCATATTTCTGGGAAGTCAGCAGAACCTCAGGTCACTGTTTCCCACTATTGGGGGGGGGGCAGCACAAAGGGCAGAGCTCTTCCTTTCTCCTCCTCTACCTTTACTCCCAGCCCTGGAGGGCAATTCTCTGATATCCCACCGGGCACAGAACCATCTTGTATTATCCTGTGAAGTTTTGCCAAAATAAAATAATATATTTTTTTAAATAGAGCCCAGGTAGATAATCGCTGCTGTGGTGGGTGGGAAGAACAGTTTCTTTGACATGAGCTGATGTGTCATATTGTCTTTCTCTCTCAATGTGATTTATAAATAGGGAGCCCTTACCCCCTCCCTCTCTCCCCTCTAAGCCCCCAGCATGGAGTTAAAGGGAACAGTCTGATGTCGGTACCTGGGATTGTCTAACATTTAGGCGCACACACACACACACACACACACACACACACCATTGAATTACAGTGCTCTGGTCTGAACCGAAGGAAAGTCCTGGCTTGCCTGGTGTAGCTTCTAGTCCCCCACCCACCCCCATACCCTCATGGTGTCACACATACCAGCTGGAGGCCACTTCTATTGAGGCTTTTTTTTCCTTTGAGAAAACACGTATTAGTGAGAACTGGGCTCTTAATGGTGGCAGATTTAAGACTTAAGGTCTGCATACATTATTAATGGGAGTGGAAATGGCTTTGGTGTTCTTTTCTATTATGTTTCAACATTTGAGCCCTAAAATGAGTGTGTAGGTCTCAGGGTACAGGTGGAGGTGCTCACCTCTGCTTGAAAGTATATCTTTCCTCCACACCAGCCCCATCCAGTCAGAAGCCTTCTACAAAGCAGATTTAACAAATCCCCATAATCTAGCCTTCAAAGTGGAGTTTCCAGGGATCCCTCTCACCTCTAGACAAAGTACAAAGGATACTTAAAAGGTCGCAGAGTTAGCCTGGGGAATCTAGCTCTGGCTCCCTTCCATGAAGGGTCCCCAGTTTTCAATCCACACTGAATCACATTTGCCTGTCATTCCCCAGTTCTTCCATTCAGATGAGATCTGAATCCTCTGAGGTTTTGGTCTCTTGCCAGGCTAGCTGCAGCCTGGAGAGCCAGAGCCTTCCTCGGGGAACAATGAGAAAAGATCAGAAGACAAATTTCACATACATCATAGTCTTGCCTGTGGCTGGCCTTGACCCTGGCTATTCCCTTGATTTGAATTGATTTGTTTATTTGAGTTTTCTTTGAGAACTCACATCTATATAGTATTTTATAGTTCCAAATCACTTTACATATATTTTTTCATGTGATTCTCATAATATCCCTATGTGGCAGATAGTGAAAGAAATTATTATCCCTATCTTATAGATTAGAAAACTGAGGTGAGAGAGGTTGATATTCTCATTTTACAGATAAGAAGGGGAAAGTGACTTGTCCGATGAGATAAAGCTAGGAACTGGCCAAGTCAGGACTTAAATATAGACTTTAGGATTCTCAAAGTACACTTTGTAAGTGCCAACATTCAAACACAGATCTTCTGCCTCTGAATCTTATACTCTTTCCAGTACATTATATAACCTCTCTTAATCTCAGAGATGGATGGCACCATTCATGTGAAAGAAGACTGGTAGCTAGATCCAAGGGGTCCTGTAGTTCAGAGAAAGAAAACACATGGTGACCTTATTCTTGAATGAGTCTT